AATATTATATTTGTGAAATATAATATTTGTTTCTAAATATATTCGGAAAATCATAACTTGTTTGTTTTTTCATATTCTTTCATGTAAGATAAATTATTGCAATTTTAATATTATCTATGAATCTATTCAAAATAGAATCGAAAATATTACAACAAAAATAATTACAAGCTTATTATCATTATTTTCTAATAATTGCAATTTTTATTTTTCAGATAAAATATGAACAACTATTTTTATTTAATGTAAGGCAGTGTGAAAATGACAAGATGTAAAAATACAAATGTGTAATTTTCTATAATTTCACACCGATTGCAATAAATGTAGGTAATGCTGTCGTAATTTCTTTCGAGGAAATATTGTGCGATAATTCGTCTTAAAACTAGTTGATCTCAATACGCAGAAGAAAGAGAAATTATGTTTGATAATATTCTCAACATTTATCTATCCCAATTATTACTGTTTTTTATATATACTTTTCGATCTTTAAGTTACTCGCGCTAACGCGTGCATAATTATCTACATTTACCTTGAAGCAATCTGAAAGTTAATAATGGTGTAAGATTGCACCGTTTGTGAGAAATCCGGGCAATGCCAATGTAATCCAATGTTCACGAGGGAACCTACTACAATTCGACTGCGGATGTTGTAAGTTTCAGGCGAGATCAGGCTGCTTGTGAATATTGAGATGCGGTTTGTAACATTACGGACTGTTTAGCATTCACGTACTTGCCTAACGTGTCGTGATTAAATTCGTTACGCCAACGATACCGCAATCGGTCAACGCGAATGCCACGATTTTCTACGCCCGCATGAAATTCTCTTTTAACACGGACATACGGTCGACAATTTTCTCTTTCTCTCACAAAAGCCGACGGCGAAAAAAAAGCTATAGTCAATATTACGGAAAACATTTGCAATTGTTACATAAATTTCGTGAACACTTAATCGTAATGACAAAAAGGAGAAAAGGAAAGTGGAAAAGCAACTGTGAGGATCTATTTAACTCACAATTCTTGGTACGGTTAGAAAATTGCACGTCACGGACAACGAATGCATCTCGACATCTCTTTTGCGAGAAAAATAAATGTCACTTTCTTTGGTTCTTTCATGAGCTGAAAAGCATTTTTCCTTACAAAATTGATTTGTTGCATGTAATAAAATTATTTCACGGTAGTTACATATGATCAAAGCTAATTTGCAAAATAAAACTTAAACGATTCCATGAGTTAAAAATAATTTTCATGTATGCATGTATGTGTAAAAAATAGTAAAATGTATATATTATTGTTCTTCCTCTCAAAATCAGTTTTACTTTTGTATCCGGAATTTAAAATTTTAGGAAAGCTACCTCAAATAATTAAGTTAAATTATTAACAAAATTTTTAATTAAGATCTGTTCTTTTGATTGCATCTGTATGTGAGAAGTGGCAAGCGAGAGTTACAAGAGCGCATCATTTTTACGCTACTTGTTAAGTGCTGCCAAGTGAAAGTATACGCACTAAATTCATTCCAGAAGAAGCACGTTTGCTTCTATGCTAGTATTACAACTATCTCGCCCTTGGCAATAAGCCAGCTATTACAGAAACGAGGATTAAAGGTGTTGAAAGCATATTCATAAGTATTTGAAATGCATACAAGTAGAAAGAGATATTTCAAACATATATTGATTTAACAAAAATTTGCGGCTAAAAGGCAAAACATTTATTTTAGATTAGATAATCGAAATACTACAAAATAGTACAAATAAAATTAATAAACAAAATAATAATAAATACACATAAAAAAACATAAAATTTTTCAAACTGTTTTGGATTGAAAATATAAGAATTTAATATTATTACAAATATTATTAAATAAAAATAGTAATATGTTTATTTACGCATAAGTAATTAATTCTCATTTTGACGTAAATACATATCAATTAATTGATATTTTTTTTAGCTTACAAATATAATGTATGATCTTTTATTACCAATAATTACTGCTATTAATATAGGAAATATACTTCATATAATTTTATGAAATAAGCAGTAAAGTTATGATCAAAAAATAATTCAAAATTAATTGTGATAATTTTATTTGTAAAATGCAAATAAGAGGATTATCTTCCAATAAATTCACAAAAACAGAAATAAAGAAAAATTAATCTCATAAAATTATAACAAATTTTGAAATATATATAATAATTTTGTAATCATAGATGTCTAATTACATTAAAGCCAATTAGAGACACTTGTAACGAAATAATGTACAAGAATCTATTTTATGACAAAATGTGTTATTTATTTCAAAGAAAATTAATAAAATAGAATAGAAAATTATATACATATTCTAATTACGTTACGTCAAGACTGTATATTTTTGTTTAAACCCAACAACAACTTGTGAAATCGTGAAGAAAATGACACGACTGTGGCTTTCTGCATGCCATTCGTGTACTAAATCTGTTCCGGTTATGCCTATGATAAACCTGACTTGATGTAAATTTATTTATAGGAGAACTACTTGTACAATACAAATTTTTATATATATATTTTAACAATAATTATAAAATTTAATTACTAATATTTTGATATTATACAAATAAAAAATAAAAGGAACATTTAAATAAATAAGAACATATATATTCCACAAATTTAGGGAAAAAGAGAATCATTAAAAATAATTTATAATTTAATAATCTTTCGCGGCTTTCTATTTTATTTAATGTTTGCATGGAAAAGCTGTTTTCGCAAAGCATTATTTTAAATTAGATTGTAGAATAATCGAAGAGAAATATATTTTTTATGTAGACAATGTCAATAATTGCTTGCTAACTAAGATATTTTTAATATCCCACAGTTTGACGTGTAAATTATAGGATAAATTCAGTGTCTGCAAAATTACACTCTATGGTGCACCAGAATTTCTTGTTACGAAATTTTCACTAATAGTTTGCATAACCAGTCGAGATTATTAGTGCGACTTTCTCGCGATTTACTTGGAAAAATAATCCCTGGAAAATATTGTTTATTTAGAAAATATTGTTGCACACATAAGTTTATTTTATTTTATACTAATCAAATATATGTAGTTATCTAAATATTAGCAACTCGGTTTATTAATTAGATCAAATAGTTACGTAAATTAATTTATTTCAATTGCATAATTTCAAAGTTCTCTTTAATTACTACGTATACCATATATATCATATATAATAATCAGAACTTTTAATCTTTTTATCTTTAAATATAATTTAAGAATTGACCAACCATAATATAGCGTTACTCATAACGATAAATTGTTACACTCCGCAAATTTAAGATAATGAATAACACAGTTGGTATTTGTGAATTGTGTATTACGCTATTAATCTTCCTTATAATTTTATTTGTTTTTAATAAGAAATTTATATGAATCGCGTACGAGAGCAATTAATTTAAATCTAAATTTTACGTCATAATTAAAAGAATAATTAAAATAAAAATGTTCAACAAATAACAAATTGGTTCGATTATTAGATTTTGTTCATGTCACAAAATGATATCTACGTGCATTAATAACGAATAATAATTACGTCATAATTTTTCACTTTCTTTCTTTCTAATAGAGAGCATAATATCTTGAATTTGACCCTATAGAAACTGACTGATCTCTTCGTGATATAGTCATCAAACGAGCATCTTCTTAATAGCCGCGTCACTCTTGTTACGTGTTATGTAATATGTGAACGATCTAAAGCCAGTCGGATATGTCAGTTCACCAACAAACGATCAGAGGCAGCCCGGGGCAAGGCCGTAGACCTGTCTCGCTACGGGCCAGCATCTCGTGAATGAACTATTACACGATGTTTGCAGATTTCATTCGCAGGGAGGTTCTCTATCCCTACGTACTATCTCCTTCCCTAAGAGAAACTAATTAATCTGTTCCGTCAATTTACATATCTAGTAATTTGTACGACTAATACGCTTAAAGATCTAATAGACAAGAGTATTATAATACAGATTTGAATAGTTGATGGAATCTAGTTTTAGACGATTTTTTTGAAACAAAAAATCGACATTTACAAATATAGTTTCTTCTTTTAAATAACTGTTTGTATTTAAATAATTCCTGCTTTTTGTATGACCATTATTGACGTTATTTATAGTAGTTCATTAAAATTATCTGGCTATTATATTTTTAAAGAGTTAATTTACGAAAGTCCGAAATTTAGAATAATTATATACATAGAAACATTATAACAATGATGAGATCGCGACAACGCATCGTTAACATTATAATTCTGCCTAATTAACGTGACTCAAAGTAATTCGTTTTCTTCCGCAATTTTAATTGCAATGAGAATTATCAAGCAGATGCTACGAACGAACCGACAGTCAGACCTAGAAAAGCATGTTTTGCTTTATGATCGAACGTAAGGTAAATAAGAGCGTAGAAAGTCGAGTCGGATTAGTTAGAAACCTATATTTTTACTTTTATATCTCAAAGCGATGTAAATAAAAAAAATTCTCATTCACTCTCCTTTCTATAATTTCCACGTGATATTTGAAACGCGAACTATAAAGCTAAATAGAATCTGAATTCGATATGGGAATATCAAATACTTGGCGAAATAGCTTTCGCTTTAGAACCGAAAGTCCAGTACAAAATATTTCGTCACAAATATATATCAGAATGAAATACCATACCATAGAAATGTAATCCATAGAATATTATATAATCCAAACACAAGACACATATCTAAATAATCAAAATCAAATCCTACATACAATATTGATGATCTCAATCTGAGAAAAAAACCATCAAGCAATGTAAGAATCAACAAACTTTCCAACGCTTTATTTCCCCAGAAAGATTTGCACATCGGAAAATTGGTCCTACATTTTCTATCGAATTTTTCACGAATCTCACTAATCCAGGAGATAAACACTCTCGATTTTGTATCACCTATGAAAGGGGCAAAGAAACTCGGTCTTCTTCTTCGCGCTCATGAATGATCACAGACACATTGTACTTACGATTCTCATTTCTCCTCTCTTGAGCTTTCCGAAACTACCGCGAGTCGGAACGAGCACGTTCTCCGCGTTCCCCGTACACAAGTCGGCCGCACACTGCAGTTGCACTCTCGTTAGGCGGCGAGAGCCTAGGAGCAGCGCACGCGGTGGTGTGCCACCTGTGTCTCGCGGGGGTACGTTCTTGATGTGATGGTTCGCGAATAGGTAGGGGGCCTCCGGAAGAAACGCCTACTACTGTTCGCGGTTTTAGCGCGGATTCAAAGATTCCCGAAAGTAACGGCGTAGATCAAATCGGTTCGGATCGGAGGCTCACAAGTAGATGTACTGTCCGTCTCTGCTGGCGTGGAGGACCGTTTGACTTCAGGTGGGGGCCGCTCCTGGGACTTATATGTCGTCGTTGGAGGCCATCCGCGGCCGGCTCCCTGTTCCTCTCTTCTTGCGCCCTCATCCGAATCATTACCCTCCCGAGGGGCGCGAGCGATGGTCAAGGTGACCTTCGCCTCGTGGGGAACCACGGATAGGAAGCACGGAGAGGCGACAGAGAAGTGACTGCAGCCACTTCGTAGACAGATAGTCGATTCAATCTTTTATTTTTTGAAGCGTGAGTCACCGACGAGGGAGAAGGAAGGATATTCTCTTGAAAGTGGCACCACGAAAATAATCTTCCGTATAAATTCGTGAAATGTACTTGGAAATTTAAATAGCCGGTAAAAGATTTTTCATGTAATTCATTCAAAAATGTAACATCGACGGACGACGCACATGAATAAGAAAACGACAATTTGGTTATAAAAATTAGATTGCATATATATGAAAGAATCACTTGTGATTTTGTCTGGAAGAAGAATGAAAGATGAAATAACAATGCAAATTGTGATTAATGTCGGCTGAATCACAATTCTTTTTTTTTTGCTTTTTTTCTTGAAAAAAGCTCTTTCTCGCCGCTCGATCATAAAAACGGCAAATTACCTGACATAATACTCTATGGCAAAATAATGCATGCGGCTGCTTAATGTATATTCTAGACATTACGTCTCAATGCCTATCGCATCATGCTCCGGATCGGAATCCGGATCTCTATTCCGTGAATGCAATATTATGACGTCAGCTGCTGTTGCAAAACAATGCTTGGTATGCAAATCTTATCTCGAATATATATTTAAACGCTCTTTCCACGTCCAAAATTTTTAAATCGATTCAAAAGACGCATCTAAAAATTTCAACATTGTTAAAAAATGTAAGGTTTTCTTAATCGTGCGCTATTAATTCTAATCATTGAATCATATTACAATGATACTGTGATAAAAAATTTTCAAGATTCTGAATACAATTCTGTAAAATTTTATAAGAGACATAAATCTTATTTAAACCAACGGGCAAACTATTGTAGTTAAATTATTTGCTGAATTTATGTAATAGCTATGATAGTCGCACGTGTATTATTAGCATTTATAGCATTTAATTAATCTGTCGATTTTATAATCATTATTGTATTATTCCATTCAATTGTCATATAATTGACTGATTATGGAAAAGACACGGTAATACACTATTCTCAGGATACGTGACTTTCGACGCAGGAAAAATTCTCGTAACACACACATATGTATGTCATCCGTGCGTATAATAATTACGGTAATAGGGTAATCGGCTGTACATCCGCAAATCATTATTAGAAAGGAAAAATCTAATCCTTTTCCTTTACATAATCCAATAATCGATTGCCTTGAAAAAAATATCTTTGACACACTCTAAATAAAATAATACATGAATAATTAAAATGATAAAAATAATGGACACAAAAAATATGTTATACTATTTTTTTGCTATCATATTAAGAAATGAAAAGAAAATATTCTACACAGCTGTTTTATTTCATTTTAATCTTCTTGACAACGCGCATAGTTTTCAAATAAAATAGAAAAATTCCGATTCTTGTCTGATCTGTCGAGATCGTTCGAAATCATGAACAAGCGAGAACATGATCTCTACATGATACTATTATAATTACGGTCAGGAAAAATCTAATCCTTTTCCTTTACATGATCCAATAATCGATTGTCTTGAAAAAAATATCTTTGACACACTCTAAATAAAATAATACATGAATAATTAAAATAATAAAAATAATGGACACAAAAAATATGTTATACTATTTTTTTGCTATCATATTAAAAAATGAAAAGAAAATATTCTACACAGCTGTTTTATTTCATTTTAATCTTCTTGACAACGCGCATAGTTTTCAAATAAAATAGAAAAATTCCGATTCTTGTCTGATCTGTCGAGATCGTTCGAAATCATGAACAAGCGAGAACATAATCTCTACATGATACTATTATAATTACGGTCAGGAAAAATCTAATCCTTTTCCTTTACATAATCCAATAATCGATTGCCTTGAAAAAAATATCTTTGACACACTCTAAATAAAATAATACATGAATAATTAAAATAATAAAAATAATGGACACAAAAAATATGTTATACTATTTTTTGCTATCATATTAAAAAATGAAAAGAAAATATTCTACACAGCTGTTTTATTTCATTTTAATCTTCTTGACAACGCGCATAGTTTTCAAATAAAATAGAAAAATTCCGATTCTTGTCTGATCTGTCGAGATCGTTCGAAATCATGAACAAGCGAGAACATGATCTCTATATGATACTATTATAATTACGGTCAGGAAAAATCTAATCCTTTTCTTTACATGATCCAATAATCGATTGTCTTGAAAAAAATATCTTGACACACTCTAAATAAAACAATACATGAATAATTAATATGATAAAAATAATGGACACAAAAAATATGTTATACTATTATTTCGCTATCATGTTAAAAAATGAATAGAAAATATTCTACACAGCTGTTTTATTTCATTTTAATCTTCTTGACAACGCGCATAGTTTTCAAATAAAATAGAAAAATTCCGATTCTTGTCTGATCTGTCGAGATCGTTCGAAATCATGAACAAGCGAGAACATGATCTCTACATGATACTATTATAATTACGGTCTTGAACGAAACGACGTATACCATACGCGAGATACTTTATGATTAGCTTCGCCGGGACTCCACGTCAATAGCCTGCGATTTAATTATCGCTCTGTTATAAACCGCCAACTGTATCTGACCTATTTATCATAGTCGCGCAAGTTGCAATCATTCCAAGCAATTCTTGCCCGCGTTGAGAAAGTGCTCGCAGCGCAGCAGCATCAACGTGGTTCTCGTCACGCGTGTGATCGTGGTTTCTTGACCTTCGTTCAAAATGGTATTCCCAACCTTAACCCGCTAATTAACGTGCTTTTAACCGCGACATTGTGCAAGGAGAGACGCTCCAGAAATGCTTTCCGATATCGGGCTTCGTGTCCGATCGCACGAGTCGGAATGTTGGACCTTGCACGATTGACTGTGACCCTCACTTGCCTAAATTCGGCTTAATTAACGAGACCACTCACCTGAAAGATATTTCAAACGTTTCTTGCCCGTGCGCTTCTTTCTCTTTCTCTTGTAATCATTTTTTACCTTTTTTCAAAATTGAATAAACATCTTAGATATTGTAAGGAAAGATCATTTAGGATTAAGATTTGTTTAGCTGCCTTCAAGACAGATTATTACATTTACTTGTAATAATTAGTATTTATATTTGATATGAGAGAGGCTAATTTCAGTCAAAATATTGATGCAAATACGCAATGATTCTTTTATTATAGCAAATATAATTTTGTAATGCTGAGATGGATATTTTGATTCGCGTTGACTTCATTGTTGTATTGATTATAATATATACATTATCTTCACCATTATCTTTATTACTTTATTACTTAGGCTAATATTTCACAACAAAAGACGCAAAAACAGCTATAAAACACCACTTATGAACAATAATGTGTTTCGATTAATGTTGCAATAAACGTTATCTAAAGCATAGAAAACTCATCTTACTTATATTGTTAATTAAGAAGGGTTGCAGAAGAAACAAATAAATTCTCTCAAAATATAGAAGATTATTACATTTATAGAGTTAACCTTGGTTATATTTTAGAATTCGTTTCGATTTTGTTCTGCTTCCTAACCAAGCGAATTAAGTCGGACCGAAGGGAAAATCTCGATCAATCGATCGAGGACGTGCTAATTACCGTGAACGAGGCATTGTCGTAAAATTGTATAATCAATTACTGTAATGATACTTATGAAAGTATAACAAGGCCATTAAACAGAATATAATTGGGAAAGATGATTAAAAAAAAGAGCAAACTCCAATATTTATACAGAATGTTATTTATGAAAGATACTGCGGCCTTTTTTTAACAACTTCATTAATTGATTTAATATCTAATGAAGCGAATGCTGGCAAACGATGCCCGGAAGCCAATTACTTAGTATTCATGACTTTGGAGTTTGAAATAGTTTCCAGGGTAATGAGTAATAATTTTTTTTACTACCAATCTCCTTGTTAATCCACGTGAATGCATGAATAATTTGATGGATCTAATGTAACATGAATGAATGCGGAAATCCAGCTATCATATATAAGATCTTACTCGTGGACTGCTTAACTCTATTTTATGACAGAATATGCGGAAGCAGTAACGTGTCATCGATAATAATTTAATATGATTACAAAAAATTAATTATTTATTGATATGATATAATTACCATAAGAATTTCTTCTAAGAACGCAGTATTTTGTATATATTTGCATTTGTCTTAAAATGTTTTCCATAAATTATTACAATAATGAAAACATGAATAAAATTTCTGTTAACTCTAACTAAAATATAAAACATCGCTACGTACTTATACTGTTATCAAAACATCAGTTAGATCATAAAGATAAGTACCAATATAAAAGTGTATAATATTTTTTCTCTTGATAGAGGATTTTCTCGTTTTCTCGTTGTTATATAAGTCCACACTAATTACACCTCCGTTAATCTTCACACCAAGGATATAACTACGACTTATATGTTTATCATAGAGAATATATCCTTGCAACCAAGACCCATTTTCCAATTACCATGGACAGCAGACGTATACCTTCGTCCTCTGTCCAATATTCCTGTGCTATTTTGCTACGTCACGAGTCACATTAATCAAATCTAACAGTTATGCGCATAATAATCCACATTATCGTTGCATAATTAACGCGGAAATGAACAATGGTTCGATATAATCGAGGTTATTCGAAATGTTTCGAGGTGATAGATGAGCGTGTCGTTGACGAGAGGTGTCCCTAAGGATCTCTAGCTCGCATCAGAGAGGATCCGCTCGGAGAGCCGAGTCTAACGAGTCCGTTCATCGAAGGTAACGACGTGACCTCATGAAAAGTGCATTC